AGTACATAAATCAAGGTAGAGAAGATAATGCATTACAAAGTGTCATAGAGAAGAACATCATATTAAGGAGGCAATATCTAGGATACCCAAGACGAATGAAGAGAGAGAAAGATAGGGGAATAGAATGATTATAGAGATAATAGAATGAAATGCAGTAGTTTCCCCCAACTGCAGTCTTCTTATTTAGGCAGCTTTCAAATTCAAATGCACTCAAATTCTAGATTTCAAATTCAAATTGCAACAAATTTCAAATTTCAAATTCAATTTCAAACAAATTTCAAATTCAAATTTCTAATCCCAAATTTCAAATTCCTATTCAGATTCAATTTCAAAAATCTCATACTGCAAATTTTAAAAAATCTCAAAATGCAAAATTTCAATTTTCAAGAATCTCAAACTGCAAGATTTAAAAAAAAATTCTCAAACTGCAAAATTTCAAATTTCAAGAATCTCAAACTACAAGATTTCAAACTTTATAATTTCAAATTTTCATAAATTCAGATTTTCAAAATTCAAACTTTCAAATTTTAAATTTTAAATTTTCAAAATTCAAACCTTCAAAATTCAAACCTTCAAACTTCAAGCTTTAATAATTTCAAAATTTCATAAATTCAAATTTTCAAAATTCAAATTGGTCAACAATCGAATTTATGTGACAGATAAGTTCAGATATTCAATATAGAGGCTTGAGAGACAATCATAAACTTATCTTTATAATATTTATCTGTTCATCTAGCTTGTTCCTGTACACCCATTTAGCTTCAATAACCTGCATTAATTTCTTATCCTTCAGAATTATCTACAACTTCAACATACAAATCTAGGTACCCTTTAATTATTTTTGGGTCCTTAAAAAGGTTAGTAGAATCATAAGTCTCTGCCAAAAGACTAAGGATTAAAAGAATATAACTATGATATAATAATCGATTATCACAGCACCTTCAGAATCAACATAATTGATTATGACAACAAGAAAAAAAAATTCAATTCTGATAATCAATTAGATGCTCAAACTATCATCTAGACATATATAAATGCTTTGTTCCTTTAGGCACCCATTCATATTTGCCATTAAATATGTCAAAATGTTTTATATAACATCTATTTGATGTATGACCTAGTTTCATTCAATAAAAACATGTTGGTTTTCTTTGAAAAGGTCTAAATGTGTTTCTTAAAGTTTTTGAAACTGGTTTCACATCTGTTTTTCTTGACTCTTTCACAAAAATAGTTTTATGAGATTCTAGACTTTCTTTGGGTTTGTAACCAAGTCCAGCTTTGCTAGAATTCCCTCTTTGATAACCTAATATAGAATCAAGATTTTCAGAATATTTTGAAAACTTGCTTATTATTTTCTCTAACTTGAAAATCTAATTTTCCAAATGATTACAATTTTCACAAGGTTTAGCAACTTCTTTATTTTTAGACAAAATTTTAAATTTCTCAACATCTTTCTTTAAGCACTCATTTTCTTTTTCAAGAATACCAATAGTATTTTCTAATGCATTAAATTTTTGCCTAAGTGCATTGTATTTCTTAGATAACTTGGTAAAACCTTCATACATATCTTGATATTCTTTAAAAAACTCATCATATTCATTTAAGGAATTTGTACTACTTACCTGTGATGAGGCTTCATCATCACTTTTTTTCATCAAGCAAATATTTGCTTCTTCTTCTCCATCACTGCTTTCGGAAGAAATCTCTTGTGTTGTGGAAAAATCATTATCCTCCCAAGCAATATAAGTTTTGGGTTTGCTCTTATAGGTATCGTTCTTCTCTTTCTTCTTCTCTTTCACATCTTTCTTCTCTTTCTGAAGTTTTGGACAGTCTGGTTTGATATGACCAGGTTTGATATGACCAGGTTTTTCACATTCATAGCAATGGAATTTATTTGTTTTCTCCTTTCTTTGCTGTCTCTTTTTCCTGTTCTTTATAAAGCGAGAAAATTGTTTAACAAAAAGAGACATATCGGAATCCGAAAACTTACCTTCATTTTCGCTTTCGTCTTGTGAAGATTTTTCTACTTTTAGAGCTATCGTCTTGGTTTGATTCTGTTCACCGTTCTTTAACATTTGTAGCTCCATCTCATGTTCTCGCAGTTTTCCAAATAGAGTAGCAATATTCATTTTTGTGAGATCTTTTGATTCTGTAATAGCAGTGACCTTTGGTTGTCAATTCCTGTCTAAGGATTTCAAGATCTTTGTGTTCAACTCCTCTTTGTCAAAACTTTTTCCTAATGCTTTCAAGTGATTTATTATATGTGTGAAGCGTGTCTGGAAATTCGTGATGCTTTCATTTTGCTGCATTTGAAATAATTCATACTCCTGGATGAGTGTGTTCTTACGTGTTCGCTTTACTTCATTTGTTCCTTCATGTGTTACTTCAAGAGTGTCCCATATTTCTTTTGCCGTCTTGCATTGTGAGACCCTGAAAATTTCATTACGAGTTAAGGCAGAAACAATAGCGTTTCGGACTCTTACATCATATTGGGCACACTTGTTTTCATCCGGCGTCCATTGATCAAAAGTCTTTGGAACAGCTCCAAACTCCGTTGTTCTCATCGGAATGTAGGGACCATTGAGTACAGCATCCCAAACACCGTAATCTAGTGTTTGTAAAAATATTTTCATTCTCACCTTTCAAAACTGATAGTCTTCTCCTTCAAATAATGGTGGTTTGTTTATTGAGACTTCGTCCCTGTAAACCTGATTCTGCATAGACATCTTGACAGATCGTTTAGAAATATCTTATCTAACCAAGCTATGATACCACTTGTTAGACAAATGGCATCTAGAGGAGGGTGAATAGATGCACAAATTAAAATAGATGTCAAATTAAAAATTTATTTGTGAGTCAATAATTTGTTTGAACACAGATAAAGCGGAAGCGATAGTATAATCAGGAAAAGAGAAAGAGATAAGGGAAAGAGAAAAGCACATAGAGATTTATACTAGTTTGGGTATAGTCAACCCTACATCCAGTTCCCAGTCAACTCTTAACACAAGAGTGACTCCCCATTGACTATCTTTCAAATTCAGTTTACAAATTGCAATCAACTCAGCAGAAGAACCAGTAAAAAATAAACTAATTAAAAAGACAATCACCTCCTTAGAAACCCACTAAGGATGAACACCTCCCTAGAATCCCACTAGGGATGAACACCTCCTCTGAACAAATCAAAGGATGAAAACACCTCCTTAGAATCCCACTAAGGATGAACATCTCCCTAGAATCACACTAGGAAAAAAAACACCTCCTTTTCACCAATACAAAAAGGATGAAGGTAATAAAAATAAGAACAGACACACCTGGGTAATGGAGACAATAAATTGTAGAATCTTGTAGAATGTCAATATCCAAAAACAAGTGTGATTAACAATGAAAGCACAGAAGGCAGTAGAGAATAGGGTTTTATCAGAAGGTGTAAAATATCTCTGTTGTCTTGCTCAGAATTCTTTTCTCAAAACTGATTGAATGTAAATTGTATTTTCGAATTCTGTAATTGTGTGTTTTTTTATTTTTCATCAAAACTTAATTAAATAGAAAAATAACATCAGAAAATGATCGTTGGACATTAATAATATCATAGAGAAAATCAGGATATATTAAAAAACATTTATTCTTTAAAACAGATATATTTTTTAGATTTGAATTGCCATAATTGATTATATTACCAGTATAATCAATTATGATAGAGAAAATCATTTTTCCATTTCGATGCATCATAATTAATTATGACAGAGAAAAATACCACGTTATGAATTTTATCACACTTGTATTTTGGAGGCTTATGCATAATATTACTTCATCAACTTGTACCTCCATATCCAAGTATTCTAAGAATCCATCTAGTCTTCAGGAATCATCTTGGACTTGCTTGAATCATCATCTTTATCAAAAACATATCTTGGGCATGTAGGGAAATGTTTCACATTTTCACCAACGTCATAAATTTTTTTGTCCTTAATTCATCTTGAATGGTGTTGACTTGAATGTAGTTGACTTGAATCATCATCAAAATCATCTCTTGGGAATGTAAGGACATTTCCATCAATCTCCCCTCATTGCTTTCATAAATAAATTTTTTTTACTAAAATTATGTTACTAATAAATAATTAATTAAATAAAAAATTTAGTTATTTATAAAATATATTAGTAAAATAATTAATAAAATGTATTTATTAAATAACTTCATACTTAAATTTTTACATTTTCAAGAAAAATAAAATTCTAAAAATAAAGATAAAAATATATTTAATCAATCAAATCATAATAATAATTCATTAAGTTGTTTGTCATTATTATCATATTATTTTTTTAAAAAGATCCTCTTATTATAAAATAATAATTAAATTATTATTTTTTATTTTTAATATTTAATTCTTTATAATATAAGATAGTCATTATTTTAAAATAATAAATTATAAAATATGAAATAGTGATGATAAACTCTAATTTTGTTTCTTTTTGCATGATTTATCTTTTATTTTGTATATATTATTATTATTATTATTATTATTATTATTATTATTATTATTATTATTATTATTAAATAATAATTGTAGATGTTATTGTTGGTGTTTATGATGTTTTTCTTACCACTGTCTCTTGTATAACACAGTCTTGCTTGCTACTTTGATTTAAATATTCAAATAGTGAAGTTAAAATAAAAAATAATTAAGACAGATGGATAATCACTTTATTAAGATAAAAAGGGTTAGGCATATATTCATAAAAAAGGCAAAGAAAAAGATTTTTCTAACACTGATATGAACTTTTGTTTATTATTAATTAATAATAGTTATTAAGCACAAATTTAGTAGGTTAAGTATCGTGGCTTTACATGTTTGTTCTCGCCTCTTCCCTCATCAACCACCTTAGTTCTCAATCTGAGGCAGACCCTATATAATACGTACGCAACCATTCATTCATGTGCTTGTCACCAGCATCACCAAGAGTTGGTAACAAATCCAAGTTCAAAGAGAAAACTTAAGCCGATGGAAAGGCTAAATTTTGTTAAAAATGGAGTGAGTAGATTGCCTCCTGGTTTTCGTTTCCAGCCAACAGATGAAGAGCTTGTCTTCCAGTACTTGAAATGTAAGATCTTTTCCTCCCAGTTGCCTGCTTCAATCATTCCTGAGATCAATAATGTCAGCAAGTATGATCCCTGGGATTTGCCAGGTACCAAAGTTATACCTAGCTGTGTTCTACAATTATTAACTGTTAACTAGAGTATATATGAAGAAGATTCTAAAGGTGTAACACAAAGTCACTTATACTTCTCTTACTTAACGTGTAAGTTTTCAGAAAACATGGCTGACTCGTTATATAGGATTAAAGTTCAGAAAATAGACTACCAAGTTTCTCATTCTAATCTAGTCACAAATCATCATGTATTGTTTCTGTTTAGTTGATAGAATAAAATGTGTTTATATTATATAAGTATTAAGCTGACTAAAGTATTTAGCTCTTTATTAACCAACCACGTGGTTTAGAGTTTGATTTACGCACATAAGAGATAGGGCAACTTTAATCTTAAGCCAGCTAAAAAAAAATACAAAATAGAGCAAACCCAAACGAAAAAGAAAATGAATCGATCATCAACATGCATGACCTATCAATTACAATAATATGTTGAGCCCTTATCGTAGATTACTGCATGATTATGATTTTACTGTCTAATCTTGCGTATATTTATTTGATTAGGAAATTGTGATGATGAAGAGAGGTACTTTTTCAGCTCCAAGGAAGTCAAGTATCGAAGAGGAAATCGTATGAACCGAACATCCAACTCTGGCTATTGGAAGGCAACAGGATCAGACAAAAAAATTTCATCATCAATAAATAATGGCATTGTGGGATTAAGAAAGACTCTTGTATTCTATGAAGGAAAATCTCCAAATGGGTCTCGAACTGAATGGGTCATGCATGAATATCGACTCGTCAGTGTGGAAACTAGTGCTTCCAATTCATCACAGGTACACATTTATCATCTAAAAACCAATATATATATTATGAGAAATTATATTTATTTGTTAAATGCTTTGGGGTTGGCAGAAGGATGCAAACGAGATAGGGGATTGGGTTCTGTGTCGCATATCCTTGAAGAAAAGAAGTATAGAAAGTGATAACAACACTACTCCATCAGGAAGAACAATGGTGAATAATGCTGAGATGGCTCAGCCAAGATTCTTTGATTTTTTAAGTGTTCATCACAATTCACTTCCGGCTCCTGCACATTCTTCTACGTCCTCAACTTGTTCAAGTTCCAATAACGTTGTAGATGTCTCTTTTCCTAACCATGAAGAAACAAGTGGCTACGGCCATTTTTAAATGCAATGCATATGTCTGATATATATATATATATATATATATATATATATATATATATATATATATATATATATATATATATATATATATATATATATATCTTTTTTTCCATCTGCAAATTTGTTCGTGTGTCTATGCTATCATTTGAGCCAGAGTCATAGAGAGTATCTTTATAAACTACTAAATTCTCTCTCCTAATTTCCTTTTAAAACGGAAATGAGTTTGTCAAAGTGCACACACCACCAAACCTCAATAGTAGATTTAGAGATCATTAGTCTATTCAGTATTAATTTTAATAATTAAACCGTTGAATTAAAAATTCTTATTGAATAAGTATATTTATAAACTTTTTTAAATTCATTAATTCAACTTATAATATATTTATAAAATATAAAAATGTCAACTATAAGATTATTTAACTGTAAATATTTGATCTATCTAAAGAAACTATGTGAATGATCATTGAAATAATACAAAGTTTAATGGTTAGATTATTGAAATTTAATTTGTATAAATATAATCCGTTCTCATTATTACTATTATTATTATTATTATTAGTTAATCAAAAGCGGGTAAAAATAATTAACATCTAAGGCCTTAAAAGCTTTGTGATTTTTTACTGACCAAGCTATGTATTGTAATTAGATAATTTGTATTTTAATTCCTTAATGTAGACAAAATAGTGATGACGAATAAAAGAATCGCTGCTTTTAGAAAGCAAAAGTAGATAACAAATTGGGCCGTAAATGCAACTGAATTATTCTTTTTTTAGAACAGTAAATTGAGGTTTAAGAACTTTTATAGGTTGCTTATTAGTCACTATTTTAGCTAGTAACAAACTCTTTTTTCTAATACCCTCTTTGTTATTTGTTAGAATTGGTTAAAAATCATGAAATTGTATAAATGTGCTCTCTTCATATAATGTAATTCATTGATAACTTATAGTTTTCAGATAATGGAAAATTGTATTTGTATTTTACGGTATTGCCACTTTAATCATGAGAATAAATTAGAAAATAAGAGCGAAAAATAAAATCTTTTAAAACCTTTAAAAGATTATTCCTATTAAAAGAGAATGTAGAAATTAATGAACTAAAAGTTTATTGATATGAATTTTGCATTAGGATCATTACATATTTGAGTAGAGTTGTGACTTGTGGATGGAGGTATCCTCTACTCCAAACAAAATAATCAAGGTTTCAGTTAAAAAATTAAGGCTTTCAAAAGCATTAAATAACAATTTAATATTGATAAATTTATTTTCTTAAAAAAAAAAACTATATTTTTATCACCACTTATTGATTATGTGATAGAATTCGATGTTCTTAATTACATGCATTAAAAAATCATTTTGAGATAGCAAAACTTTTTAAAAATTTTAATTTATAGCTACCGAAGTTAAAAAAATATACAACAAAACTATCTTTATTTTAAACCCTAAGCTATATATATATATATATATATATATATATATATATATATATATATATATATATATTGGGAGTTTTCATTAATCTTAATGGACAGCAAAAAAAATGAATGGAGTAGGAAGTTGAAAATAGAACAAGTTCTTATACGTCTAAAACGAATCGTTGTGTTGACCAAAAATAACAAAAACCAGTTGGAGGAAGTCTTAATTTTGAGAAAGGGACAACAGATACGCGACAGAACCCAATTTGAGGATCAGGTTTTCCGTTTCAATCCATAATGTTAATTTGTTGAGGTTGTGTAATGTGTGTCTTATCCGATAATGCTAGGAGACAGACAACATAGATAACAAATAATAGTTAATAACTTTTGTGCTAAGTTGGATCACCAACAAATTAACAACTGTATTATACACAGACTGTAACTGCACACAGCCCCTTCATAATCCTTCACCTTGTTGCAACATTGAACCGTGTCAGTTCAGAATTAATTCTTCTGATCCAAATGGGGGCCAACAATTCAATGATGCAAGGAAGTGGGGGAGAGGTGCTGGCTCCTAGAGTCCGCAACAGAATTAAAGAGTTGAGGAGACGCAAGAGTGAAAAGGAGGTGCTGAATTTTGATGGTACTGTGGATGGTGGAAAAAAGTCTCAATCTTGTGAAGAAAATGAAGGTGACAGTAATAAGGGTTCTCTGAATGACATTCAACAAGCCGAACGTGTTGAAAAGGTCTCCAAAGTTCCATTGCCAGTTTCTGAACCTGGGAATACAAAATATGTCAATGATGACGATGACGATATTGAAAGTGGAAGAAATATAGGTCCATCATCTCCCAGCTTCAAAATTTATTGCAGTGAATCCAGTAACATAAAGGAGGAAAAATTTCCGGAGTCAAATGATCTAGGTACAGTTTTATGTGTGCTTTCTTATTATATTTTTCATCGGGTCAGATTAATATATATATATACGTTTTATTCTTCATTTAATTTTCTTTTGTGTTTGTCAAATGCAGGTGATAAGAACCAAACCATTGGGGTGCTCCAGAAATCACCCAGTGATGATAGTATTGACAGCTTTGTATTAGCTTCAGCTGGGAACTCAGGAAACTCCAACGAGGTATACATATATATAAGCTGTTTTTAGTGTTGTATTTTGATTATCTAAGTGCAGTAATAGTAAAATAATTGTAACATTCTTATCTCCGCCAAAAGATTAAATAATGATCAGTCTCTCATTATTGGATGCTTCAGATTGTTGAAATGAAATCAGGTTCGAAGAGAAGAGGGAAAATGAAATTCAGGTCAATGAAGAATCTACTCCACGTTAAACACAGACATAGGAACCGAAAGAACCCGATGTTGGATTGAACAGAGAATGTTGAAGGAAGACATATTCTTACAGATAATTGAATGATTACTAAGAGAGAAAAACTTAAAAAATAAGGCTTCAATATTAGCCAAAAACTCAAGGGAGAGGTAAAGGGATAGTGTAGATTAACCTCTATGAAGGATAATTTTTCTGTTGATAATTAACTTTAAATTCATAAAGGATAGTGCTTATTCTGTCATGAATTTGGTTTCACTTCAAGATTTTTCTCCTTCTTTAGTTTAACTAAGAAAACTTTAAATTCATAAATTAAATCATGCGAGGAACACACTCTCCATGACCAAGTTGACCCTAACAAGGTAGAAGGAAAAAAATGGTAGCAACGTTAACTTGGAGATCAACCCACATCATATAATTTAGCGCATAAACAAATATAATTCTACCCAAATTTAACATCAATTACATGTCATTTCCCTTAGGGTTTGAAATATATAATTATTTCTATAATTTCCATGTTTCATAATTTATAATAAATCAATTTGCACATCATAAAAACAATTCACATTGGCGTAGATCCACATTTTATATATGTTATTTTTGGCTATTTACATTAAATTAAGGACCGATATAAATACAAAAAAATGTAAATTTATGTTAGATTATGACGTAAAATTATGTCAAACTTATAAAGAAACAAATGTAAAAGAGTTTAATAAAAAAAATCAAAATTTACATCGAGTTTTGTCTTATGGAAATTTATATCAAACCTACTCACAACAAATGTAAATTCACATGAGGTGGTACAGGGACTGACATAAATTTATATTGAGTAATACACTACTCGATGTAAATTTTGTTATTTTTTTATATATAGTTTTGTTTTTGTTACCAACCAAAAGTTGTATAAAAAATATTTATATATAGACTCAACAATTCAGATACAACTAAATCATACATAAATTAAACTAACTTAAGAAAAATTCAAATATCTACTGTATACAACAAAATTACCCTACAAGACTAATTACATTTATAAAGTTTATAAATACAAAAAACCTAGTATATTACTCACTTATTTATAGAATATCATGTAAGGACAATGGTGATGAATTTTGAAACACCTAAAACAATAATTTAATAATTTAAGTGTCATTAACATAAAATACTCATAAAACAAATAAATTTAACAAGTATTAAAATGAATTACCTCCATCCAAGAATTAATATTACTCACATAAACTATGACTCTCATTCAAGTACATGACGTAGTAGTCACATTCATACGAGTATGTTTGCCTATTACACTAAAATGAGAAATAAAACACAATGTTATTTTCAAGGTTTATATAACAATAATTGTGACATCAATAATTTTCTAATCTTAGGATAAATGAACTACTTCTTCCACTTAAGATATTACTTCCAAAGACAACTCTAGTTATAAAAAAATTAACATAATTAAAATAAAAAAATTAAGAGACTAACCCTTCAATGAATGAAGCTAAGTATAGATATATTTAGGAGGCACTCATCTTCACTAATTTGATACTTTAGGTAAAGAGTTTCATCTTGGTACTATACAAATACATACTCTCATGTAAAGAAAGTCTTGAAGTCCCTTCATCTAGTGGCATGGAGGATAAAATCTTCTTCCTCATCACTTCAGTGTTAGGAATGTCAAAATTTTGCTGTCAAATTACCAACAAATGTTAAATTCAATTATTAATATATGGAGTGTTCAACAAATGTGGAAATACTTGAATATCCTACCATACGAGGTTCTTCTCAATCTCATTAACATCATACCAAGATGAAATAGTAATAGAAATATGACGTGAGTGAAGAGTCTCAAATAACTCTTAAACGTAACAACATTTGAGTCTGACATCTTACTAAAACGTGAATCCATGTCAACTTGCACCCTTCCCCTAGCAACATGACACATTGTTAACCCCTTCAACTAGGTTACAGATCTACCTTCGCTTTTATCATTACCAGATGTTGAATCCAACATAATTCTAAAAAAAACAATATGATTAATAAATTTCGACAAAATGAATACATCATACTTATTACAAAACAAATAATGTAATAGACAAACACTTATCATATTGATATGTTTTCTCATATTCCTTCATCATGATCATTTTGAATAGTATGCATGTCATCCTTTCATTGTCAATAAGATCATCAAATGTTCAACTTGAAAACGGAAGTGTCTCATGCATATCTAGAGATTCGTCTTCGTAAATTCCATGCATGTTTATTTCTTCAAGGACAAATGACCATTTCTCATTACATGGATATTTGACATAAAATATTTGTTTCTCTTGATATGCCATAGTAAAAGGTTCATCCTTATAACCGATCTTGTTCAAATCAACCAAAGTAAACTCTAAATCATCTATTCGCACAATTGTATTACCATAAACCCATTTACACTTGAACATAAGATAATTAATTTCTCATATCTCTTGTGTGATCCCAAAATAACTCATAGATGCTTTAATAAGATTTTTGTCTTTAGAACTAGAAAAGTGCATAGACTGCTTGTGACCCCACTTTTTTGTATTCTACTTTTGTTATCTTCTATTTTTTTTAGTATAAACAATAGTTGCTAATGTCATACCCACCAAATGTAATGACATCATTGTTAAGCCCATGAGCGAGTCTGAAAAGTGTATCTAAAGCATTGATCTAAACATATACCTTTTTTCTAAACCAAGAAAGGAAACTCTTGTTATATCCATTCAATACCCATTTGTCATTCAGTCGAGGATCTGTTGCCTTCATTTTGCTTATATGTTGCGATATGTAAGGGATTACTTCATCGATGTTGTTCAATAAGTACAAATGTGTTTGGTTAACTTATTTCTAACTTACATTTTTAATCTTTAAATTTCAACATTGGTTTAGATTTTGACATGTATCCTAAACAAAACTCAATGGTTTCTTCTATAATGTACCTCTCCACAATAGAAGTTTTTGGCCTATACCGATTCTTCACATATCATTTTAAGTTCTTCATGTATCTTTCAACAGGGTACATCCATTAAAGAAAAATAGGACCACATAATTGAATTTTCTTGACCATTTGGACTATCAAAAAATGAAAGGGAAAAATACATTTTCAACTAGAATAAGATTATAATTGCTTCATTTTTCAACTCATCCAACTTTTGATCAATTACTTTTTTGGAAATGACATTGAAAAACAAACATAATCGAGTAATAACAACTCTAAAAGAAGCTAGTAAGATGTTTCAAAGAGCCACAAATAAAACTTGTTGTATTAACACATAACAATCATGAGACTTTAAACTAACTAACTTCAACTCTTGCATAAACACCAAATTCTTAACATTTGAAAAGTACCATTGTGGCACTTTCACTCCACTTAAACACTCACAAAAGTTTTTTTTTTCTTTCCTTGATAAAGTGTGACAAGTTGGAGGCAAGTAAGTGTGTTTTTCAATAGACCGTAAATGTAACTTAGAACGTATACACATGTTCATCAAATCTTGTTGTGCTTTCACTCCATCTTTTGTCTTTTCTTTTATGTTAAACAATGTCCAAATTACACTACACAAACATTTTTTTCCGCATGCATCACATTTATATAGTGTCTAACATCTAACTTGCACCGATAAGGAAGACTTAAGAATATAAATTGGTCCTACCAAATGTTTTTTTCAATGAACTTCTTTTACGTCTTTATGAACACAATATTAATGTTCTTCACCTGCTCATATACTTGTTCACCATTGCACGGTGTCGATGCAACTTCATCCTCTTGACATCCATTAAATGTTTTCTTCATTTTATAGTATGGATAATTATCAATTAGGAACTTGCAATGTCTAGTGTACACAATCTTTTGTCTATATTTTAATTGGATATAACTTGTGTCCTCTTCACATAAAGGACACGCATAATAATCCTTCACACTATAACTACTCAAACTATCATATGTTGAAAAATAATTTATTATGCAAAATAACATTGCATGCAACATAAAATTATCTTCACGGTATGTATTAAAGACCTTCACTCCTATTTTCGACAACATCTTCAAGTCATCATTCAAAGGACTAAGATATACATCTATGTCATTTTCTGGTTGTTAAGATCTTGAAATCATCATAGACAGCATAATATATTTTCTCTTCATGCATAATCAAAGAGACAAATTGTAAATGATCAATAAAATTGGCCATGAACTATGTGTACTACTTAAGTTCTCATAAGGATTCATGTCATTTGTAATTAATCTTATTCTCAAGTTTCTTAACTCCAAACCCAATTTCAAAAATGTTTTATCAATCATCCTTAATTGTGGAGAATCCAGGTTGATATCGAAGAAGATTGTTACATTTTCTACCATTCGCTTGTCATGTCAAGTTTTTTGCATATTCTTTTATGGTAAACCATCTTTTAAACCTAGGTATTATTGGCAAATATCATAACCCCTTTATCAAGGGACATCTATTTCTTCCTTACCACTACTTCCATCAACTTTATTTTTGAACTACAACAACCCACATGTCAGACACACTTATAATGTAACAAAATCATTTTTTTATAATATGTAATCATTAGGACATGCATGTATCTTCCTATACTCTAAACCCATTGGACATAGTATCTTCTTCGCCTCATAGGTAATGTATTATCTTATGGAAGTATCTCCTTTAACAACTCCTATAATTTGATGAAATTTCTATCAATCAATCTATTTCTTACTTTTAAACTAAATAATCTTAAAGTTGTTGATAATTTTGTAAAACTGCATCCTAAGTATAATTATTGCTCAAAATCAAACTTTAAAGAATCATACACGTGTTTTTTTATTTTATTTTCTTCATCATATCATGTATCATCTCCTCTAAATTATTTTCATCCCTTCTTCAAAAATTTTTGTTGTTGGCATAGTTGGGATGTCTAATATTTATCTGTGTCATGTTCATATTGTATAATTCTTAACAATGTCATAGAAAAACAAATGATCATATATATCCTCAAGTTCATGATGAATTTGATTCAAACAACGAACGCTATGGACACTAATATGTCCCTTTAATAGGTTCTCCATTTCACAAACAAATTGTACAAACTCCTCAACTCCTTTTTGTACTCTTCACTAATACGACGTGCATTCATTCAGCTCTAGTCCATAACTACCTATGTTACAAATTTCATCACTCTTAGAGACTTAAACAAATATTCATATTTAAAAAAAATGTACGAACAATACAAAACATGAGACTCAAACAAATAAATCGTAGAAACATAACAATGTAGTGTAATAAACTGTACATGGTTCAATTCAGTTTTAATAACAATACAGTTAAGACATTTATGTAATATCATGATTAAGATCCGAAAAATAATCACGGGATCAATTTAAACATAAAGCTAGACACATAGAACACTAACATCAAGGATAGACACAACAAGGATAGACACAGCATCCTAAAACTCAAATTCAATCGGAGAGAAACGTCAACCATTACAAATGGGTTCACAATGTAGATGTTATCGTCGCTCACGATGGTCAAAAAACACTCTTAAGGATACTGCAGTAGTTATTATCATTGTCGTCTATTAAAAACTCTCGCACATACGAGGAAGAAAAAAACTAGGTGAAGTCAAATACTGTAATAAAAAAAATAAGGTAAAAAACTTATTTTATACTTAATCACCAACAACAATAAGCAAAATTTGTGCGTAACATTTTCTAACAAAAACTGCAAATTAATTTTGGCTAATTTCTTTTAGGAAACTTCGTTTTAGATGTAATTTAGGTCAAGTCATGTAGTTTCGTAACCTTCTTCTTATATTTTGCAAAATAAATAAAAGAACATTTTGGTATGAATAGGACAAAATTCGAAATTTTGCAAGAATAGTCACTGGATTAGAATTAGAGTTTGGAATAACTATCCTTATTTAAATAAAGTTTAAACCAATAAAGGAAGTAAAAATTGATGAAATAGATTAATAAGAAATTTGAAGATTAAGAAAAATAGATGAATTAAAAATGAAATAGAAGAGATGGAAGAGAATAAGAAGAATAAATAGGTAAGATGAGTTGGGTTTTAATTTGTAAAATTAAGTGAAGAATAAAAATATCAAAGCAACTTGGCTCTCCTTTGGACAACTGTGTGGCCGTGAATGGGAGAGAAAGGTCATTCAGCCCAGAATTGAGAGTGGGAAAAGAGAAAAAAATTGTGTAATTTTTTTTTTAAACACCAATTGGATACAAAATAAAAGTGTTTTGGTTCACGTTTTGTCATACACATAGATTTCTATTCACACCTAACAATTTGGGCCATGCGATTAAGATTAATTTTTTGACACTAATTTTAAATTTTATTTTAATATATATTGTCATAAAAATATTAATGTACTCATCTTAGTTATTGAATTTACCAATACAAATTTTGAATTTATATAAGTTAGAAAAAGAATAATAATAAATTTTGGAATAAAAACAACAATAATAAAATATTACATTAATATTTTTCTAAAATATATATATATATATATATATATATATATATATTTTTTAACGAAATTATATATATTTTAGCATCACTTTCACGTGTAGTTTTTCTTTCACATATAATATAAATAAATTTTAAATAAGTAATTTAATATTTAATATTAGTATAATATTTAATTTTTATTTTATTTATTAATATACAATATTTAACTTTTACTCTCATTTTTTTTATATTTTAAAATATGCATTCCTGATACAAAAAAATACATGTATATGTATCAAGCTTTAAAATATTGATTTTTATTTAATAATATACTTTATACATAAAGATTATAAGGGAAAGTAATAGATTTTATAAATTTATATATAATTATTAATGTAATAATTATACTATATTTGGTAAATACAATACTCAATAATGCTTAAATAAAAATATTTATTTATGGCTACAGTTATAAAAACACTAAACTATTAATATTAACTAGGACATTAAAAATTTATGCAATAGATAAATATTACTAATATAAAGTTTTTTACAATCAAATTTCATTAGATCCAATGAATATAAAAAATTAAGCATCCAATATAAAATATTCAAAATTTCTTTTCACTTAGTGTTGAACAGAATTTCCATGGAAATTCACGGGGTGTTCAAATCAAAAGACTTGGTTTGGTAACAAATTTCACAGGGTGGTGTCATTTTTTTTTTTTTTCATAGTAAATAAAACAAAACCAGATTGCAAGAATACGCGTCTTTCTTCTCGTTTACAGCACTCCGGCCCGGCCAAAATTGTAACGGCGTTTTCCATAACGGTCCAACAAAATAATATTAAAGAAAAAAAGAGAAAGGAAAAATATATCACGCACTCGCTGCTAGTGAAAAAGCCACAAGAGACACAACCTTTATTCTCGTTGCTTCTTCTGTACAGCATCCAACGTGTGTTCTTCTTCTTCTTCTTTTTTGTTCATTTTTGTTTTTCACGACAAGAAGAGTTATTGGGTTCTCCCCGTCTGCAACTCACTGTCTAGGGTTTTGTTATTGGTGGTGACAGAGTGAAGATGATAGACTTTGCGCGCGTGCAGAAGGAGCTGGTGGAATGCAGCAAGGACTCGGAGGGATCGGGCATCAAAGTGAGTCCGAAAAGCGATAATCTTGTCCAGTTGATCGGTACCATTCCGGGTCCCGTTGGAACTCCCTATGAAGGGGGCACTTTTCAGATTGATATCACATTGCCAGGTATGATAATTTGTTATTCCCTCTGTCTCGTTTGTCATTACCCTAAATTCTCGTTTTCCCTCACCCTAGGGTTTCAATTCCCTCAATTGTTAGGGTCCTTGTTTAGCTTCGCCTTTATTTTTGTTTTGTTGCATTTGTTGCAGAGGGATACCCGTTTGAACCACCCAAGATGCAGTTTAAGAACAAAGTTTGGTACGAGAATGAATTGTTATTTACTGTTCTGTTTTGTTCTCTCTCTTTTTTTTGGCGAAATTTGGTGAGTATGTGGAGCATTGAATCTTTAGACAAATTGTTAATTTTTTTTGTTTTCATTTATGCAAGTCTCAATGGGTTTGGGAAAGGTGAGAAAGTGTGCTTTTGTTTAGTTTGGTAAGTTATTACACTTTGTAGTTTGGGTATATTGACAATTTGTAATGTAATACAATGATGCAGTTCAAAACTATAGTTCCGTATGAAAATAAATTGTTGTTTACTGTTCTGTTCTCTTTTTTTTTTTTTAAATCCTTTTTTTTTGGCTGAAATTTGATGTAAGTGTGTGGAACAAGGAATGCTTAAAGAAGCTGATATTGTTAAATTTTTGGTTTTCATTTATGTGCAACTCTCTGTGGGTACGGAAAAGGGGAGAGAGAGTGCTGATGTTCGGGGAATTGATTATTTGTAATGTAATACCAGAATGCACTTAGGGTTTGGATTGGAAGGTGAGCTTTTCCTAAACCTATGAGTTGTCATATATTCATGGATGATATAGATAATTGTGGGGAGGTATTGTGCTAGGGTTCCACTTGATTCAATTTTGTTATTGATGCCACTTGAGGGTCATTTTAAACCACTAGAGAAGCTCAATAGCATGATCCTCTTCATAGGATAGAGTATGGTAGTGTGACACCTTTTGTGTCTAGATCTTTTGATATGTTGAGTTCCGTATTTCTTCATGTGAGTGTATCATATCCCCTCCTTTTACTGACTCTTGTTGATTATTCCAACGACAACATCATGTGTGTATATCTGCTCAGTTTCTGTTGTGAGTGATTCATGTTATTAGGTTGGGTAAATTGACAAGTTTTATATGTTGGTCTCCTCCCTTACCTGGGTTTGGGACCAAGTATGATACATAAACCAGTTCTCTTATTGATTCCTCAACTGACAAAATATATCTCAGACTTGTTTTGATGTTCTCCCAAATTTGGAGAATAGTGAGTTCCCCACATGTTTTGTTGCAAACTCGAGTTTTGAATACCCGGGCACAAGGAATTCGGACTTCTGAAGAAGCTTTTGATGTTGAGTTTATTTTTTTCTCTCGGCCTCTATAAAATGAGCAATTTCTTTTCTATGTAAATATAACATTTAATGCATTACCATCTCAGAATAGTCTGTTTGGTTGATTAATGTGTGAAATTTATTTTGTATGTTAAACATTGAAGGCACCCTAATATCAGCAGCCAAAGTGGTGCTATTTGCCTGGACATCTTGAAGGACCAGTGGAGCCCAGCGCTCACTCTTAAGACTGCGCTTCTTTCTGTGCAAGCACTTCTCTCTGCCCCTCAGCCTGATGATCCTCAAGATGCTGTGGTGGCACAGCAGGTATGACTGATTCTGTCGTGCAGCTGTGTCTCTACTCATGTGAAATGTTTCTTCTGTATTCTTTGGGTGCAAAACTACTGAAGCACAGTATATTGCATGCATGTCAAGTTTTGCTAGGTCAACTTCTGTGATTATAATCCTATCTGTCCATGCATAATGCAGTATCTGAAAGACTATCAGACATTTGTTAACACTGCTCGCTATTGGACTGAAAGTTTTGCCAAGGAATCGAGTCGCGGGATTGAAGACAAGGTACCAAGCTTGTTGTCTCCTTTTATTATTGGAATGTGGATGGACATTATTGTGCGTTTTTTAATGGCCTGATCGCCATGTGACGTTGTCATATCTCTCATGCAGGACATTCTTTATTACTTTCTTTCATAGATTTGTTTTGGATAAGTTGGTGGTTTAGTTTATTATTTTACACAAACATTTTTATGTATCTAACTTGACTTTGCATACTAAAGAAATTTTAACAATTGTCCCCGACTGTCTTACACAAACATTATTATGTTAGATATAGGCATGACAGCTAGGCAAGGATAGGTTTTGCCTCCCCGACTTTCTTAACCATCCCATTCTCGATTTTTGTCGGGATTAGAAATTAAGATTTTATCCTTTTTTTCCTTTGGATTCAAGTTTTCCCGTTCCCAACTGTCCCATTCTATATTATTTCTAAAATCATAATTATACTTATAATAAATTAATTTTACCATATTTTTTATGTATTGTTTTGTATACATATATAAATATTTGTAATTTTACAATTTTTAAATTATTATTATTATTATTATTATTAATTGAGTATATATTTTAATTTATTATATTTATATTAAAATGTGCATGTAATAAAATATTTGATCCTTTTTTAAGCAACAAAATTCAGTTTTATTTTGTTAAACTCAAGATCAGGACAAATCGGTCACTGCAGTGGTAGATTTAATTATCATCCTTAATTAGATATAGCTTTTATGGAAATTGTATAAGAAAATGATAAACCCAAAATTTTCATTTATAATCAATTACAACTGTTGATTTTATGTATGTTATAATTGTATACCAAAATTATGTTTTGAATTTGAAGAATGATCTGTATTGACATGTATAACCTGCTTAAGAATATTGCCGTACTTTTGATATGGATAATGCAAAATTCTGAAATCTAAGCATTTAGGTACAAGTATTATGACAATACTTACATATGATAACTTTATGACGCTTGCAATTTCTTTTTAATCTGGTACAACAGGTACAGAAACTGGTTGAGATGGGATTTGCAGAAGCTCAAGTAAGGAACATTCTGGAAGCTGTTGGTGGTGATGAAAACTTGGCTCTGGAAAGGTTGCTGTAGCCCCAAGTGTGAAATATCTTCTACAGCGTTTTGTCATGGTCAAGTTTAGGGATGACATGTCGCCATAAGATGAAGGAATCATATAGACAAAAATGGTTAATTGAATATAGTCATATAATCTATACTGACATATCGTATAGTCCTTTTGTTTTAACTTCTGACTTCTTTTTGTGCTTGGAAACTTCGTTCTCGACTTCTTCCGATGATTATAAATCATCAGTAGGGAATTTACATACATTGTTGACAAGGTTTCTTCTTTACAAGATGTCTTGGAAGCCTTATTAGAAGGTTTGTTTTCTATGGGATTTGACAATTGAGGGGCTAAACCCCAGTAACATAACAAACTCATGCTTTCAATCTGCTTGCTATATGCGTAAACATGACAATACTTTTGCTAGTTTTAGTGGAGGCTGAGGCTACATTCTGGATAGAATACCTCATTATTCAACACCTCTTCTATGAACAATTTTCTTTGCAATTAAAACAGTTGAGCAACTCATATATTACCTCAAACAAATTTATCCACAATCATAATGATCTCAATGACTTCCATTGAATTGAAGTTTCTGATTGCCTTTATGAATTAGACTCGTCTCTTTCCTTATCTATTTTAGTTAACGTCCATGAACTGCACTATGAGGATGGGGAAAATCTGTTCATGTGGCAAAAGGAGATATTGCTGGTGCTGTCAACACCAAAAGGGCTAGAGTGTGCAAAGCTTGGTATCCAATCTGCAATACTACCAGTAGTTATATTTAGCTTCTCTATGAACCTTAAGTTATTTATCATAAAATTCTAGTGACAGTTCCATTACGTGAAATTCAAGGCCACTTCCATAGTAATGAGCATACACCATTCCTCGGCCATCAGAACTTCGCAGATCTCAGATTCCTGAGAAATCCTAGACTGTAGGGGCTACAATGGTCCCAAATGACATCAACACAAGAAGTCCTGAGGCCATTCTGATAGACAACAACATTGAATTCCTTCCCATTGAAAATAACTTGCGAACTAGGCTTTTTTTTCTTATGTTTATTTTTATTCTACGTGATAGCATCCACCTTGTTCTACTTACTCACCTCATACCAAAAGAAGCAAATTGAGAAATGAGATAGTTTAGTTCAATTTTACACTATTCATTTTTTTCTTCCGAACTTTAAATGACCCTAGTGAAATTGACATCATTTATGTAATCTTTTTTACCATGTTAAACGGTCAAAATATGATTCATTTATGCAAATAAACCTTAATGGTAGCAAAAGATCAAAAACATGCTTCAACAGTATATAATTCTTTGTACCAACAAAGTTAGTCATAAACACCATTAGAAAAACCGTTAAATCTACTAATGGGAAATAAAGCTGTAATAACTTTTGTTTGTTTTGTAAAAGTCATTATTGAACCAGCTTCATGCATGCTTATCATATGGGAAATAAAGCTGTAATAACTTTTGTTTGTTTTGCAAGAGTCATTGTTGAACCAGTTCATGCATGCTTATCATGAATCTCCTCAATTAAAGCCACCCTCTGTTGTATCTTGATAGACTTGTTATCCATGGACATGATAACAAAGCTATTGACGTTGTAATAGAGGGCAGATACTACATATATATATATATATATATATATATATATATATATATATATATATATATATATATATATATATTATATAAAGGTGGTGGGAAAAAATATTAGTAAAATACTGCTGAAACAAACTTGGTGTTAATCTATCAATGTTACTAGGAATCATAAAACGGGTGATGAGAAAATATTATCAGAAATTTAGGTGTAATAATTTAATGGACTGAAACCAATGGAAAACGTAGTTAATGGTTACAAAACTCAAATTGAAGTGTTATTTGATCAAACCCTTTGACATAATGAAGCTACTTCCATAGTGGGTCTTGTCATGGATTTGGTAATACCTGGACCATCATTCATGGTCTCACAAGTCACAAATACCACTAGCTATTTTAGGTAAGTCAGTTTAAATATTAGTTTTTAATGATGGATAGGTCCAATATTTTACACATTATTAGTTCTTGGTGTATATTAGGTATGGAACAACCAAAGTTTGAAAGGAATATATCATGTTGAGTATTTGAGGCATGCTAGTTGAATAAGTAATAGGTGGAAGGAATGAAAGTGATTGAGTTGAATTGTAGTTGTTGTTATATGATCGAGTTTGTTGCCCTTGGACTTTCATGACTCACGAGTACGGTAGCTTAACACATGGGACTTCATTTCCTAGCCTTGAGTTGATTCTTGAGTCAAGTCTAACAAGTGTATGGTGACCTAACGAAAATGGGAATCCTGTCCAACTTTCACCTTTCCGATCACCATTGCTACATGATCCACGATTTTAAAAGGATTCAAGAATTTATTTTGATTTATTTTGAAGTACTTCAAGAATAATTTATTTATTAATCTTTTTTTTTGTCAAGTGTTTTCTTAAAAGAAGTAACTTTTGAGACATAACATAATAGTAATTATGTCTTCTTGATAATTCTCTCAAATATTTTAACATTTAAATCAAAGAAATTAATGTTAAATTTTTAAAATAAATTTCATGATTTTAATATATTTATGATATAATAATTATCTTATTATATGTCCTTAATGAATTGAGAAAATTAATTTTAAAGGTTAAATATGTTGTTTTAGAACTATTTTGAAAATTTATTTTTTATTTTTGTTTTAAAGTTTAGATACATTTAATCATTACGTCTTATAAAACATTGAATTTGAATATGGTCCTTATTATCTAATGGCCTTAAGTGGTCATCTACGTGATTATCAAAAGTAGGCTAACAAAAGTAAGTTAATATTATAATATCAAAATAAATAAAAATAAGGTGAAGATGAATAGTTACTTAAATTAAAAAGTGAAATCAAAATTCAGAAGAATCTCTCTCAAAATGGAAACCTTTCTCTGTTTATTTCAAAAGCACTTCATCTTCTTTCCATATTCACTATGGTTAGCTTCTCCTATGGTTTAAGGTTTTTTATTTTGTTTGGTATTCTTCTCCTCTTGAACCAATATCCCCTTTTCAAAAATTATGATCTAGGTCTTACAACTTTATCTGGTATTGTGTTTTTGTTTGTTATTATTTTTGTCCTCCTCTTGTTCTCTTATTATTGTCTTCAAAAATTATTGTACTGAGACTGACAATATCTTTTATTAAAATAATTAAAATGAGTGCCATGAAATCTCAATATTGTTATCACGATCTATGCAAAGGACTTATGAATTTAAATCTACAACGTCTTCTTCACAATCAGGATTATTAGTTTAATTGTTACTGCTAAAAGAAGCTCGTTGAATAATAAGAAGCAAATGTTCAAGAGATGTAGAAACTAGGCAATAAGAAGATTTATTTTTACATTGGTTTTAGTTAAATGTGTTGATTTTTTTTAATTGTTTGTTGTTTTATTTGTAAACTCAATGACATTGTAATTATTTTGAATGAACTAATGATGTGAAAACCGAAGTTAAATCAAATACAAAAGAAGAAGAAAAAAAAACAATAACAAGAATTTGCATGCAATACCGAATAAGTGATACAATAATTTCTTAGGAAAAATGTTAAGTAAAAGGAGAAAGTAACAGAGATAAAATGTGAAAAAATATCTATGTAATTTTTTGTTGTCTCTTGAACATTTACAATTAGTTCTGAAAATGAATTAATATAAGTAGTATGTAATGTATATATATTTAAGTGGAAGAACTTTGTTTGTATCAAAATAGTTCTGTTGAATAAAATTGTGTTGTGAATTTTGAATTGTTATTTTTTAACTTTTATAGTTTAAAATATTTGTGTTGATTAATAGTTTAAAATTTAATTTAATTACTTTCTATACTATATTAGAGATTTAATTAAACAAAAGCTATTACTATATAATATTACTCATTTTACATATAAAAAGTCTTAATTTTGTTTAATTGCTTTATTTTAAATAATATTTAACGGTGATAATATTTTTAATTAAATACTTTTGCAAAGATATTAACTATCATTTAAACAATAAATCTTAATAAATAATTTAATTTAAGTAATTATAAATACAAGTCTTTATTTATATTCTTATTATACCACGCATTCAACAATTTACATTCACTACAAGAAAATCATTTATTACCGACAGATATTTATCGACGGATATGCAGCCGTCGGAAAATTAATGATTATCGACGGACATTACTGACAGATATAATGAATTTGTGGAATTTGGTCTTATCGACGGATATATCCGTCGGTAAATGAAGAATTAATTACCGACGGATATATCCGTCGGTAAATTAACAATTAGTTACCGACGGATAGTTAGCCGTCGGTAAATTAACAATTAATTACATCACCCTTAAGCCCGCATGACCAGCACCACTCCCATCCCTTTCTACATCTCATTCACTTCTCTCCCACTCATCCTCAGCCCTAGATATGCGCAGCACAACCACTTCCAGTCATCACCGGCAGCCAACACGTCTCCACTAGTGCCTATTGTGAGCCCTAACCAACCATCGCGAACCATCACTACCAGTTGCGCCCCAATTTGATTTGTGACCCTCTCATTGGAACCGGTCATTACCTCACCGGTCCTTTGCCATCACGCCAACCACCGCGCACCTTCGAACCACCATCCAACAACACTCTCATTCCTTTCTTGATCTCATTCACTTCTCCTCTCCCACTCATCCTCAACCCTACATCCGCGCGCCATAGCCACCTCCAGCCATCACCGGCAGCCAACACGTCCCCAGTAGTGGCTATTGTGAGCCCCAACCAACCACCGTAAACCACCACTGCCAGTTGCACCCTAATTGGATTTGGGACCCCTTCATTGGAAACGGTCATTACATCACCGGTCCTTCGCCATCACGCCAACCACCGCGCACCTTCGAACCACCATCCAGCACCACTCTCATTCCTTTCTCCATCCCATTGAATTCTGCTCTTCCACTCATCCTTAACCCTAGATCCGCACACAACAACCACC